AAAAGTGACAAAAATATTCACCAAAATTAGAGAATTGAAGATATCATTACAAAATGAACAAATCTGAGAGAGGACCACATGTAGTACCTAGATATGTAGTATCAAAGCAATAGGACATGCGGTTTTTAACAAGAAGTCGAAAATATCAGTTTGTACCAAAAATGACAAAAATATTCACCAAAATTAGAGAATTAAAGATATCATCACGAAATGAACAAATCTGAGAGAGGTCCACATGTAGTACCTATATATCTATATATCAAAGCAATCAGACTTGCGGTTTTTAACAAGAAGTAAAAAATACCACCCAAGGTACCGACATACCAAGTATCAAAGCAACCGGGCAAGCAGTTTTCAAAAAGTCGAAAATAGCATTTTTGACCAAAAATGACAAAAATATTCGCTATAAATAAGACAATTGAACATATTCACACGAAATGAACAAATCTGAGAGAGAACCACCCAAGGTACCTTCCTAGAAAGTTTCACAGCTATACTGTTTGTGGTTTTTAAGAAGAAGTCGAAAATTTAATGTTGACGACAGTCACGGTACAATGGTAACCGTAATTGTTGCAAGGACAATACACTTTTCTCGATTTGCGTGCCGCAGTGCATCGATAAAAATGCACGTAATGGTCAGCAGTATTAATCAAGTTCGTCTAGTGTGACCTTCGTGGCTGGCGAAAAGCAAGATTCCATATAATCTTAAATAGGCCTCAAGGAGGAGTGAAAGGCCTTAATTTGATTCTACAATGGGCGTCATGAAATGTTGGAAAATTCAAGTCAATCAAAATCAAAGAAAGCTTAGAAAGAACTCCCATGTGCTGAGAGTATTGGAGACACATTAAATATAATTCGAAATTACTTAGCTGAAAACTAATTATGCAAATCAGAAAATTAATATGACCAGATTTGAGTGTAAAACTAATGAGGTCTGCGCAATGTAACAGAAAATCTATGTCTCCAAGTTTAATTGAAATGTGATTAGAACCAAAAAATTATGAATTATTATGCTTATTAGGGAATTAATATGAACAGATTTTTACCCCAAACTAATTAGGTTTGTACATTGTCCTAGAGCATCTTT